GAACCTGTTACACATCTACAAGACCATGAGATCACAAAGTTCCAGGTTGGGATCCAGCGTGGGATATAACTCAACTCTTTATAGAGGAAGGAACAGCTGAGGAAACACGTCCCTACCAGTTCCGAGGAGACTGTATGAAGTCAACTCTCCAGCATGAAAGTTACTGCCTGCACACGCTACTGCACAGGAACAGTGCAGCAGTCAACTTTCTATGGAAGGCTTTTTACCTACCTTGCTTATATCATTGTAAGTGATGTCACACACGTATAAATACCATTAAGGAAGATAAAACAACTTACTTCATGAGAGAACCGGATAAAGGACCTGAAGCATGCCTGGTACAATCATTCAAGTTAATCGACTCAAGATAATATGGGCAGTGTACTTTAGATTCATAGGAACCAGATTAGGGACTTGATACCTTGGTGTTCCCCTGACAGAAGTATAAGTCAACTGCACAGCTGGAAAGCAACTGCAGAAAGTGACTGCCTGCAACAGTGCAGCAGACAGTGCAACAGTCACTTTCCATTGAAATTGGACATCACCATTGTGAATTGACATCACTAAGGTAATGTCTTGTATAGTATAAACCTCATGAAAGGCACAAGATTCTGGTTCAACACTTGCAAATACAGAAAACGAAAATCCTTTCTCAAGTGCTTACAACAATCTCTCTCAAGAACGAAGCTGCTTCAACCTCAAGGACCGGATCCAAGATTGTAAGTCCTTAGGTTGTTGAGTCTTTGTTATTTGTTCTTCAATTGTAACTCCTATCTTGCTTTCTTAGAAGCTGTTTTAAGAAACCCAAAATCACAAACCCTCCAAGTTTGTGTCTTGGCTAGGGTTAGTCGAGTTGTAAAGCCTTTGTAATAGAGTTATTACAAAATGGCTTGTAATAGGGTTATTACAAGTTAGGGTATCAGAAGCCTTTGTAACTGTAGAGTGACAAAGTGGCTTGTGGTGAGAGCATCACAAGTTAGTAAAATCCTTTGTAACTAGGGAGTCACAAAGTGGCTTGTGGTAAGAGTACCAAGTTAGTTGAAGTCTTTGTAATAGGGTAAGTGCAAAGTGGCTTGTAATAGGTTTTTACAAGTTAGTGAAGTTGAAAGCCTACAAGTGTAGGTCGTGGTTTTTGTCCCCTTGAGTTGGGATTTTTCCATGTAAAAATCCTCTGTGTTCTTTACTTGCTGCAGAGCTACTGTGATAACAATTAGAGAACCTGATTCCCTGTACTGATTGGTTGCACAGTCTGTTGCTTACAGTAGGAACTGCTAGAGAATCTGGTTCTCTATACAGTGAGAACTTATCCTGTGTCTCACCTACATACTGGTTCCGCAGTTAGCACTGTACCAAACCGATATAGGACCAGATCGCTATACAGTTTGGTTCCTCAGTATTTTCAGTGGAAACTCATAGAGAACCCGGCTTCTATGCAGTCTGGTGGACGCTCGGTTTCTAACATAAAGACAACATGTTTTCTATGTCTTCTTGTTCTTGTATCCCCATGGTAAACTCAAAAGTAGGAAGAGTATTACCTGTAGAATCAAGGCCAGGGACCGTCATTGTCGATTCAGCAGGGATATGACCAACATCTTGTTCCCCCTCAACTTGTTCCCCCTCAAGATAAGAGCTTTCTTGCACAGGCAGACTCAAAAATTTTGGATTTTCTTCTCTCTCTCCAGTATCCTACTCGACCATCTCTTCAGGCGAGGCAGAAGGAGAGGTCACCGCCACAAACTGTTTGGGAATTAAAGCTTTGTGAATCCGATGAGAACCAGTACTCGACTGGGTCGGAGAAGTGGGTGGTTGTGACTCTGATTTAGGGTTTGGACTGGTCGGAGTGGGAAGAGTTGGCTCTAACACTGGTGCTTCAACGGGTGAAGACACAGTGGGGACGATGATTGGAGCACTTTGGGCTTCCTGATTTTCAGTCATGATGGGGTTTAGTGATTTGAAGAAGAAGGTGTTTGGTTTGAAGAAGGGAAAAGAGGAATTTTGTATTTGTGAAGTGGATAGTTGTGAAAGGGACTAAGAGGCGTTATTTAATAGGGGTGAGGGATCGGTTAGGAATGGGTGGCAATCTGGGTAGTCGGGTCGCTTCATAAAGGGGTGAGACGTTTGGGTTCAAAAAGCAGGAAAGAAAAGAAACTGACAAGTTGATGACGTGGCACCGTTTCAGCCATTTAAAAAATTGTGCATGAGAGTACAGAGGAACTACTAACCTGTCTCGAGGGAACCAGGTTCCCTGAATGACTTTGAAAATGTAAGCCTCATCCTTTGACCAACGTGCAATGCCTTAGCTGCTTCTTTGCTTTGTAATCATCATGTGTGTCTACCTGTAACGGTGCGGAGATGAGTTAGATTGTGCCAGAAAACACTTTTTATCTATTTTACCTGTACATCTCTTTCGTAGCCAATCATCGAGGGACCAGGTCCTCAGCTTGATTTCATCAACCCTAGAGACAAACAATTCCTTTCAAAGTGCTTTCTACTCAGTGCTTTGGTGAAATATGTCTGCAATTTGATCTTCTGTGCTGCAAAATTTCGTACAGATAAGCCATTTTTCAACATTGTCTCTGAGAAAGTGATGTCGTACGTCAATGTGCTTTGTTCTCTTATGTTGAACTGGATTCTTGGCCATGTTGAGAGCACTGGTATTGTCACATACTAAGGTCACGCACTCAGAGAACACACCAAAATCTTCCAGCTGCTGTTAAATCCATAACAGTTGAGCACAGCAAGATGCAGCAGGCACATATTCAGCTTTTGCAATTGAGAGGGCCACTGAGTTTTGTTTTCTTGTATCCCATGAAATCAGACATGAACCCAGAAAATATGCCGTGCCAGAAGTGATTTTCCTGTCCACCAGATACCCAGCATAGTCAGCATCCACATACCCAATTAAATCAAAATTATCTCCTGATAGAGAACCAGGTCCTGTGTCCCTTTGAGATACCTCAGGATTCTTTTGGCTGCCTTCAGATGAGATTCATTTGGATTATATTGAAACCTGGCACAAAGACCCAGACTAAAAACAATATCTAGTCTACTTATTATGAGATACAGGAGTGACCCTATGATGCCTCTATACATGGTCTCATTCACAGGGGAACCAGGTTCATCCATATCCCCACGAGTGGCTGTGGCAATGGGAGTATCAATGATTTTTTATCCTTCCATGTCAAATCTCTTCAGCAGCTCCTTGATGTACTTCTGTTGACTTATCATTGTTCCCTTGGAAGTTTACTTTACTTGTAAACCCAAGAAAAAATTCAGTTCCCCCATCATGCTCATTTCAAACTCACTACTCATGAATTTTGCAAATTCCTCACATAGAGAATCATTTGTTGCCCCAAAATTGATTTCATCAACATAGATTTGCACAATGAGCAGGTTCCTTCCTCGTTTCTTTAGAAAAAGGGTGTTGTCAATTTTCCCTCTTGTAAAACCATTTTCTAGAAGAAATTTTGACAACCTTTCATTCTAAGCGCGAGGAGCCTGCTTTAGCCTATACAGTGCCTTGTCAAGTTTAATGACATGCTCAGGATGCTCATGATTCTCAAATCTAGGTGGTTGCTTGATGAAGACCTCTTCCTTTACAAAACCATTCAGAAATGCACTTTTGACATCCATTTGGAACAATTTGAATTCCATATGAGATGCAAAGGCAATGAGAATTCTGATAGCCTCCATTCAAGCAACTGGAGCAACTATTTCATCATAGTCAATCCCTTATTCTTGACTGTAGCCTTGAACTACTAGCCTTGCCTTGTTCCTTGTTGTGTTTCCAAACTCATCAGGTTTGTTTCTGAATACCCACCTGGTTCCTATAACAGTTTGGTCAGCAGGTCGTGGAACCAGGTGCCACACACTGTTCCTCTCAAATTGATGGAGCTCTTCTTTCATAGCTGTAATCCATTCTGCATCTTTCAATATTTTCTTGATATTTTTGGGCTCTATTTGAGAGAGAAAGGCTAAGAAGGCAAGTGAATTTCTTGACTTTGATCTGGTTTGAGTTCCTGAATTAAGAGGACTGATTATGTTTTCGAGAAGGTGTGAACTTTTGTGCTTCCAGTTAGACACCTGAGTCTCATTGTTATAGGATCCAGGTATTTCATACTGTGATCCTTGGCTTCTTCTTGTCTCAGCATGTGGGGTGCTTTGGACAGCATCGGCAACTCTGTTCTTAGCTTCAGTTGTTGTAATTGAGGTACCAGGTTCCTCTCCATCAATTGGAGATATGGTTGCACCATCCTCATTTGATTCCTCGACTTGGCTCATCATATCAGCCTTTCCATTTGCCATGTCAATGACTTCACCAGGGATAGTTGACTGTTCTCCGTCTTGATTATTTTTATTATTCAAATCCTTTCCACATGAGTGATGAGATTCATTGAATATCACACGTATGCTTTCCTCAACACATTCAGTTCTTTTGTTGTATACTTTGTAGGCTTTGCTTTGTGATAAATAGCCCAGGAAGATTCTTTCATTACTTTTGGCATCAAATTTTCCAAGTGCTTCCTTGCCATTGTTGAGGACAAAACATTTACATCCAAATGTCCTCAAATGTGTCAGCATGGGCTTCCTTCCGTTCAGCAGTTCATATGGCATTTTATTCAGAAGGGACCTGATCATGCACCTGTTCACTAAGTAGCATATAGTGTTGACATCTTCTTCCCAGAAGGCTTTTGTAATGCCACTGTCAATCAATATTGTCCTTGCCATGTCTTCAAGAGTCCTATTCTTCCTCTCCACAATACCATTTTGTTGAGGTGTTCTTGGAGCTGAAAAATTATGGGTGATGCCATTTTCAACACAGAATTTGTCGAATTTGGCATTGTCAAATTCTGTCCCATGGTCAGACCTGATGCATGCTATATTATGGCTCATCTTCACCTGGATCTTCTTCACAAATGCCACAAACACTTGAAAGTTTTCATCCTTGGATCTGAGAAACAGAGTCCAGGTGAATTTGGAATAGTCGTCTACTATAACAAAGATGTACTTCTTTCCTCCTCTACTTGGCACCCTTATAGGTCCACATAGATCCATATGGAGGAGATCAAGTGGCCTTGAGGTACTCACTTCCTTTTTGGGCTTGAAAAAGGATCTGACTTGCTTTCCCTTTACACATGCATCACACATTTTGTGATCCTTGAAGCTTGACTTGGGCAACCAACGAACCAACTCCTTCTTGACCAATTTGTTCAGCAGCGTAAAACTTGCATGACCCAGCCTTTTGTGCCATAGTTCATCATCATAATCAACAACACTCAGACAGCTAAGATCCCCATTTTGCAGGGACTCAAAGTCAGCAACATAGATATTTTTGTATCTTTTGGCCACTAACAACACTTCACCACTCACAAGATTAGTAACTGTACATATCTTAGAAAAGAATTCCACTTTGTTTCCCTTGTCACAGATTTGGGAAACACTGAGCAAGCTATACTTCAACCTGTTCACGTAGTACACATTTTTAATTGAGTGAGAGAGATACTTCCCAATTTTTCCAACTCCCAGAATGTATCCTTTCTTGCCATTTCCAAAGGATACACTCCCTCCCTGCAGGGCCTTCAGTGAAAGGAAATCATTTTTACTTTCAGTCATGTGCTTTGAGCAGTTGCTATCCATATACCATTGTTGGATGCTCCCTTTCACTGCTCCCTACACAAGAAAATCAAGAGTTAGACTTAGGAACCCAAACAAGTTTGGGTCCCTTGTAATGAGGAAAGGGATGAATGAGTGCTCTTTTGGTCCAAACATGCATCAACGTTTTTTATGTGAGGGACCCGGTTCCATAGCAATAGTTACTTTTATGAAAAAAGCATTGTTTTTCAGTTGAGACTGAGATCTTGCCTTACAGTTTTCCTTAAGGTGCCCATTGTTACCACAGTGAGTGCCAAGCCAGTTATTAGGTACAGTAACGTACTTGCTATGAGGGTTGTAGGGAGTTTTTTCCCTTTGAAACTGATTCCTGCCTGTTTTCCCCGTTGTTTGTATACATAGCAGTGATTGCATCAGAGGACCAGGTCCACTTAAGAGATTTATTTAGGTCACTCTTCACTTTGCCCAGATTTTCCTGAAGTTGTCTGTTTTTCTCAAGCTCGGCACACAGACTAGATTTCACCGATTTTAACTCATTTTCAATCCTAAGGTGTGCCTCACTTGCAACTCCCAGCCTAATCTCCCTTTTTAGTTCCTCAATTGTTTCCTTTAGGTCTACAATCACTACTAATAGGTCATCTCTCATATGCTCAATGTTAGCACTTCTCTCTGTTAGAACCTATTTCTCCTTTTGAACACACTTAATGGTCACTTTTAGATCGACCACAACAACCACTAGATTATTTCTCTCACGTTCTATGTTTGCAATTTTTTCAGTTAAGGCATCTTTTGCTTTCTACATACTCTCAATGGTTTCCTTTAAGTCTACCACAACAACTACTAGATCATCTCTCGACTGTTCTACTTATCCTAGTTCTACAGTTAATGCATCTTTATCATTTATAAGACTGTGATAAGCATCAATTAAAACATTTGCCAAAGACATAAGTTTT